TATTTACCTCCATTTTTCCTGTATTTGAAACCACAAGTCACTTTAATCATCTTCGCTGAAACCCATGAAGTCGTCTTTTTCAGTGTCGGAGTTGAACAGGCTCAGAAGCGCTTCATCACATCTGTCTCCATCAGTCTCGCTCTCCGTGTCACTGTCATCCTCCGGTGAAGTTGGCTCTCTAACTTACATCATACAAACTTCTTCGTGTGGTTTCCATGATGAAGGGGCGAGGATTTGAAAATAATTACCAGTTGGTAATTTGTTGTGCGTGTTCCATCTGCTAAAGAAAAAGTAGCGTGTTCTTCTTTGCATTGATTTTTCATCTATCTTGTTTTTTATTCTAATTCTGGTTAGAGTCCCCCTAGCGGTGGAAGAAAAATCCACAGAATAGCCGCACCTTTGTATAAGCCTCATGGCTCAAAACCTAGGAAAAAAGTAGCGGCTTATAGTCCAGGAAGTACGGTATACAAACAAGACCCATAGATCCCAAACAAGACCCATAGATCTTTGAACTCCTCCACCTGGGGTAGTAACTCATCACTGACCTGAAGCAGGCTCTACACCCTTTTCTGGGTGTGAGCTTTTTCCTGGTCCTTCTTTCAGTCCTGCTTTATTTTGACGGTTAGTTTAGTTATGCAACTTTGAGTTCTCTCCCTGGTTTACATTCAGTCTGTATTCATTTCCCCAGTCTCTGTTCAGTTATCGTCATCTCTGGTTCAAATTCCTGAAAATATCCACTGTGTGACCAGCACAACAGATACCAAGGCCAGGGTTATTAGACAGTCATAATAACCAGGCAGTGACCTGTCATGACCAGAAACGCCTCTTAACATTACAGCGGTTAAAAAGAGTTTACAGTTATGTATGTTAGGTACACTATAGATTTCCCACTGAAGCATAATTCAGCCATTAGACTGCATAGTTATAGTGGAAGGCACTGTAAGTGTTAAGGAGTAAGACTGGTTTTCTCCTGACCTTCCAGTAACTGCTGACAGTGCAATAATTGTCAGTAGTTACTGAATAACTGAAGCCTTTCATTGAACTGCCAAATAAACACATTGGTCCCCTCTTTCTGGCCGGACACGTGGCAGCACTTCTGCTATCATTTGTTTGTATTTAACAAAATAAAAGTGCAGACATAAGTGTACACATTAGTTTTTGACTCTCTCACTGAACTACACAGCCTATCCCTCAGCATGTCTGTACTGTCTGCTCATATTGCCTTCATATTAAATCAACAACACACAAATCCTGCCTAACAAAAAAAGTCACTTCATTAGCATTATAGTTCTTCATGTCAGTATATGGGCCAGAAGTAGGAGTGGCATGGGCCGCGAGTGGCCCCCCGGGCCCCACACCCCTGTTCTACAGTATTGATCAGAATTTCATTAAATTTAAGAGAAAATGTAATACATTGTTTGAGAAAATGTGTTTGGGTATAAAATTTTATTAGAAGAGAAGATTAGGAAAATAGTGGGGCAGGCTTTAAAAAGCATTTGAACTATAACAAGAAGCCTCCGTGTCTCAATAACAAAGATGGTCCAAGGTACAAACCAGAATAGCAGCTTCAGACTCTTAAAGACTGTTAACAACAGAGATACTAAGGCAAATTTTGAAAAGTTACAATCACACACACATTCACACCATGCAAGTACGACTAAAAACAAAACGACGAGGCTCCTGTGTCTTTGAAAGCTCCTGTGTGTTGATTAGTGACTGGCTTCGTCATCACCTGAGGTCCTAGCTTAAGGACGAACCGCAGACAGGGCTGCTGGGTGCTTTCACAATGAGTGTCATTGAAATTTACTTATCTTCTCCATAAAAGCTTATTCAGAAATGAGGGCAAAAAAGTAGAATAGTACAAAATCTGTGATCACAGCAAAATGTAAAGAACACTTAACACACTTAAACATTAATGAAACATGAACGAGTTAAAGCAGACTAGGTCTTCTTCACCTCTCAGTCTCCAGCTGTGCTCTCTATGCTGTGCTACCAGCAGCCACCTCCATGTCTGAGGTCTGAAATGGGTTTATGGAGGTGGTCTCCATGGCCTGGTAAACGAGGAAGAGGAAAGTGGCCACGATGGCCAACAGGAAGAGCTTTATCCACAGAGACATGCTGCGCTGTGCTGCTTGGGTCTGCCCTGCAGGCGGGAGGCTGGAGGAGGTGGTTTTGGGTGGCAGGCTGGATACTCTGTTTACTGAGTAGCTCTGAGTGTAGGAGGAGATGCTGGTCTTGGTGGCTTTTGGAGAGAACAGGCGGCCATCACTCCACAGGTCACTGGATGTCACAGGGCGCCCTGCTGCTCCTCGGATGGGCCGGCGACAGGTGGCACTACAAGAGAAACATTTAAGATTTAACATTCACAGAGACCTCAGCTCGTCATGTAGAGCAGATAATGTACTGGACTTTCCACTGTTCTGAGTCTTGGTCAATCCAGTAACTCCTGTCAAAAAAATCCTTGTTATGACAGCACTTACTGACCCTGGCCATGCCAAGTTAAAAGACACTGTAGAGACTTCTGCTCCAATTACAATGCCATGGACTAGTATTTGGCCCCTTCACACTTGTTAAAGTAGTAATTTTAAAATCTTTTACTTTAGCTCTGGGGTTCATGTCCTGCTTTCTGTGGTGCTGACTTTAGAAGATCTCTGAATATTTATTTTACTGCAGGCTAAACACATCAAACTTCATTTCCGGTAAGAAAAGAACAGCCGACTGCACTTACGTGATTCCCGTTGGACCGCTCTGGTCATTAAGAAAGAGCTCCTTCAGAACATCTTTCTCGTCTACTTTTAGGGTTTGATCACTGGCTGCGATTTTCTCCACCTACACAGACAAGAGAAATCAAGGTTAAGCTGGGAAATGAACACACTGTTGGACAGTGTAGATGCACAGCCCAGCATCTTCACAGGACTGTGTGTGAACAGAGTGTGCTCACAGACTGGGTGTCACTCTGTCACAGAAGCAGCCTGCTAGAGAGGAAACAGCACTGCGGACAGCTGAGTAGAGTAAAGTGCCGGCCTTCAATCCAAACTGGTCTGACATGGATCCGTGAAACTCTGATGCTCAATGAGTGACATATTACTCAAGGCTAACAATAGAGAGGCGGAGCTGAAGGTTTTAATCCACACACCGATGGAGTATCTAAACCAAACTGACTTTCTGACATTTATTTAAAAGAAAGTATCTTATGGTGTGTTATTTCCTCCAAAAAATCCACAACATCGTGTCCTCCTCTGCCACTCACTTCTCCCCCCTCGACGCCTCTCTTGGACATCGATCTCCTCATTTTGTGCCAACGAAGGAAAAAGCAACACCATATCTGATGGTGCTGTCGCAAATGGAGCACCACCCGCATTGCCTTACTCGGGACCTTTCAGCAAAACAAACATCTGGCTGAGTACCACGGGACTCTGGTCCCAAGTCCAAAACAGGCCAGCGAGTGTGCTCGTCTTCTCAGATAAACTGAGCCTTGCTTTATTCGTCCTTTTGTGGTTAAATCAATTCTTAATCTCTCAACTGTCTCGAGTTATCCAGAAATGTGACGATCCACAACACTTTCCGTGTCTCCTACTTCAAACCGGTTCATTTCAGAGGGCTTGAGAAAGAAGACAACGTCACCTCTTTAGGTCTGTGAAGAAGTTTAAGTTCTCATCAAAGAGGCTGCTGGAGAGTCCCAGGCCTACAGCTGAACAGACAACATTGTATCCACATGATGGGTATAAAGGAGCTGTTATTAATTGACCTTTATAAACCCTGTTCATGCCTTTGCAAAGGTTTTAACTTCCTTTTAAATAAATCTCAGAAAGTCAGTTTGGTTTAGATACTCAAATGATTTTTCACAACATCTGCCACCCTCAGCCTGCTGCTGGCCTTCATCTGACAGAAAGTAAAGGACCTCAGTCTTTCTCGTAAAAGGGTTCTGTGTTCTTAATGAAGTCCCGTTAATTTGTCAGTGGAACCGTTTGAAATTCAGATTCTCTGGTAGCAGCATAAACCAGATTGACTTTGAATTTTTTAAATGAAGAAAAGGAGATGGTTGTTTTATTACTTCAGCAGGAGGAAGTAAATGAAGTGAACTGTATACTGAAGACCACACTATATTCATTAACTTCACTTAATCTGATTACAGAGCAATGAGAGAACATCATTATTCACAACTGTACT